GACAAGACTCTTCCAGACCCTGCCTGCTGCTCTCAAGCGTATGTTCCCCAAGTATCCCGTCGTGTTCCCCCAAGGCTAAGAATTTATTCAGAACGTGAGGATGCTACCAAGGAGTCCGACTTCACCCTCGATGACGAGGATGACGAAGACGACGAAGACAATGACTGGGATGGAGATGTTGAATGGGACGAAAACGAGGTTGAAGCAGCTCTTGAAGAGGGCGATGTTCACGACGAGAGTGCTGCTTATCTCGACTTCCTCAACCAGGAAGCTCAAAAGTTCGGCTCCTACACCGATGATGACGATGATGACATGGACGAGGAAAGCCTTCTAGAGACCCCTCTGGACAAGTTGGAGCCATATGGCATGTTCAAGCATGTCCTGCTGAGTAAGTGACATATAAGAGAGTATCCTATCACCCGCTAACCTTCGATTTCAGGCCTCCAACAAGAACAGCCCCAGCTCTACGAGAGTCTGACCAAGGTTCTTGGTCCCGAAGAGCAGCAGGTCATACAAGGCGTCTTCCACGAAGCCGACGCCAAGGCCATGGTCGCCGCCGCCAACGCAGAAGCCGCTGCCGCAGCGGGCATGCAGGCCAACGGCAACTAAGAGACTATAACCGAGATGGATTGAGAAAAACAAAAAAGGATTCGAATTTCCAATGCCTCGGACGATTTTTCTTTCCTCCTTCCACATTTTCCTCACGAGACCATATGCCCATTTCATGTCTTTCCCGCTTCTTTAGATCATGTCCCGTCTGCTCTGTATCTCCGTGTTTCTTTCCTCACGTCTTTTTCATGTGATGCTCTCGCTGATGTACTCTTAAAAGTCCTACCTGTGGACATTCTGCTCGAGGGTATTCCCCCTCTTCCCCTTTCTAATCCTCTTCGATGCACAGATTCCCCTGAAGACACCCTTGTTTCCTCATGATATAGTACATCAGCCATGCTACGAATGATGGATTCCAGCTCTGGAACCTGTAGTGCCGTCGAAACCAGCCACATAGTGGACTCGGAACTGAATCCAGATTGTTATAAGAGTATTCTAAGGTTACTCGTGTAGGAGTATGGAAGGAAAAAGGTGAGGTCAAAACAAAGATCGTGACAAATGACGTCATGCCTCAGGAGCATCATCCATATCCATATTGTCGGTGGGTATCCTCGAGGCATTATCGGATTTCGACGTCGTCGCGCACGGTTCTCTCTTGAAGTCAACGTGGATGTATTCATGTTACAAACCAAGTTCTAGAGCCACGAGATGAAAGAACGCTTAAAGAAGTGATAGTTCTATAAAGCAAAGAAGTCAGAAGGAGCCTATAGTAAGGATTTAAGGCAGCACAGACTACTATAACTAGCAATGAGGATTCTTATACACCGTTAAAAAGTTGTAAGATCGTCCTATGGTAGTTGTATGTTGTAGGCCTTGTTCCAAGTGCTAAAGGCCTGCTCAACGTCATCATGATGACCCCCAATGACCGGTTTAGTTGGTAACGTCAGTTGATTTCCAGGATAAAATAAAAGAAGCACTATTCCTTAGATCCTATCGTTCAAACACACATACTCAACATCACCCATCATAAGCCTACATCGATTGAAGGTCAGTACTGTCAAGATCGCCATATCTCATGAACTCCATTTCCGTTCTTCGATTAAGAAACTCACACTTATGCCTCTCTTTAGCACATCACATCAAATTCTACAATATCCACAATAATGTCTGCTCCCTTACCCGGTCGTCAATCCCCTTCTCCGGAGCGCCAATCCGGCGCCCAGCAGCAGGATATCCCCGGCTCCGGCAAGACCAATGTCGGCAAACAACCAGAACCCGTGTTATCGTCGGAGGAATATAGGGACACTGTGATGACGAGCAACCCTGAACCCCGGCTAGAGAAGATCGAGGCGGCGAAATATGCCAATGATAAACACCATTGAGATGGGGTATCTCTTGTGGACTTGAAAGGTCTTGTTTTTGCATTTTGGATAATGACATCATGAAGAATAAGCTCAGATGATCGTCTTCATTTGAGTAATGTACTTAAGTAAAACAATACATTAAATCTCTGGCTTGGAATCAATTTTCATGTTAATTTGCTTTGCTTATTGGAGATCATAGTTATCAAAGGCTCACTTGTATAGCAAGAGCCCTAAAATCGTATCACGCAGGCAGAAAGAAAAATAAACTATTGACACGGGATGACATGACATCGTAATAATGGAAAGGATAAAGTAATAGACACAAAGGAAACACGCCCAGCGCAAATCTTCATCTCCACAATAAGTTAAGATCTCATTCCAACAATCCCTTAGGACTTCTCAACAGGCGCAGCAGCAGCCTCGGGCTGAGAAGGAACAGCAGCGGGCTGAGCAGCGGGCTCAGCAGCGGGCTGAGCAGCGGGCTCAGCAGCGGGCTCAGTAGCAGGCTCAGCAACAGCAGCAGGGCCAGGGGCAGCGGCAGCAGCCTCAGTCTTACCCTGCTTCAAATCCGCCAGACGACGAGCCTCGGTGTGGATATCGCGCACCTGCTTATCGGTCTGAACATAAAAGTCGCGCAGCTTCTGGCCAGAGGGGGACTCCAGGGCCTTCTCGAAGTACGAGCTCAGGCCGCGCCAGCCATTGGCTGCCTTAGTGGAGATCTGATAGTCGTTATCGATGCCTTTGGCGCGCTCGGTGGCATTGTACTTCTTATCGAAGTTGGTGAGCGCGGTCGTGAAGCGATGCGAGACACCGTGCTTCTTGTCCAACGCGATCGCCTTCATGATGGCATTGTCGCTCACCACGTACCCATGCGCCAGGTACTCTGCGATGATGCGCGATCGGGGCTTGTCTTCTTGCGCGATATGCTCCTCTTCCCTGGCCTCGGTCTCCGCGTCGGTGACATGGGATCCGCCTATTTCTTCGATGTTGTGGGTTGCTTCAACGTGAACGGCAGAAGTGCCCAGTTGAGTCTGGTCTAGGAGGAGGGCAGTCTTGGCTGCGCTGTTTTTAGAAATTGCGTTAGTTTGTGTTGATGTGGGCTGATGGCGGGCTGAAACTGGGTGCGGGGTAGCTTACGCCTCCTTTTCGAACGTCACAGTGGCGGACTTCTGAGCATCGGCTTCCCCAGAGACTGGGGTGATGGAGAGGGTGACAATCTTTCCGCTGTTTTATGTTAGCAGTTGGTCAAATAAAACAATAATTGTGATAATGTACCAGAAGCTGAAGAAGTCGCGAACCTCCTTCTCGGAGGTTGTTGACGAGATGCCAGAAACGTGGACAGTGGAATTAGCCATGATGTTAGGTAGATGGAAAAGGAAGAATCTTGCGAAGGAATCTAAACATCTCATCATTTCCCTGGTGGGATGCGACTATTTATCTAAGGGGGCCACTGCGCCACAAGGTGACGTGGTGACGTATGGCGGGGCTGTTGCACCGCCTCACGTAGTTAATTTCGTTCTGGTTTCTTCTAGGGCTGTTAAATTCGCTTGAAAATTAAAAATATCATTTCAATTTCAATTTCAACGCTAAAATATTATTTCATTTCAAAATGGGTGTATGCCTTAGGCGTAGACCTACTCTTAGTAATCCACCAATTAGATACCTTGAATTTTCAGAGAGCCAATAAGATTATCATAGCTTACTCTAAGCCTAATTAGGCCGAATATAGGCTCTTACCTATACCGCCTAGTATTCTTCTTAGACCGCGTAGAGTGCTATAGCATAGGTCAAAAATATATTTCTAGTATTAGTTGACACGGTGAGCGGGGGGCCAGAAACGGCTCCCATTGCTCCGCCTGTCTGCCGCCTCCGACCGCCTACCCGTCGCCGCTATGCCCCTGCCCGTTCGGGTATGGTGCGCTTCCCCTGGCCCTCTTTTGGGTTTAGTGCCACCCCTGGCCGCTTTACCGCCCCCCGTCATCTGCCGTCCATCTATAAAACATCCCTCGCCCTCCACCTCAACTTGTCCACGCACTTTCTCTTTTCTTTCCCTCTCGACCCCTTGATATCTCGCCCCACCGGCTCCTGCACATTGGCTGTTCGCCCAATGCACTGCCCCTTTAATTTCACCGGAGATGCCGCTCGATCCGACGCCAAGGTTGTTCGGGCCAACATTGGCTGCAATGCCATCCAGTAGTCCAGGAGCAGCAGAAACATTGGGTCGATTCTGCCCTCAGCCGTATCGTGCGGTTTCGTGTCGATATTTTCATTCGCAAGGAAATGGCAGTGAATCATGCTACGAAGCTATCTAGATCGCTCTCTGCTTGCGAGGCGTCCCGTTGAGCGAATCTATCCTTCCGCTGGCCTTCTTTGCCATTTCAATGTCACCCGTTGCTATTCTCGGCTTTGCATAGTCTTACTCGTCCGCCTCATCTGGTGTTACATTGTTGCACAGCGCTGGCGTCGCAGATCCACTCTTGGCCGTATGCTCGCAAAGGCACTGACGCCCCGGTTGTCGTCATCGTCGGCCTCTCCGGTCTATCTGCATCCAATCGGTGAATCTTGGAATTACGCCGCGGTGATTCTAGCCAATAGCGAATATACCGCATACTCACGCGGCCTCGGTTCATGTTGCATCGCGAGGCCATTGCTACGGCCAAGCCCCGCGAGGACACGGGCCAGCGAATGGAGATACCGGTTGATGAATAGTGGGGATGGATCGTTGTTTGTGAGAGGAATTTCATCAAATGAGGGGGAGCTGATGCCGGCAACCTACAGCCTGCCGTCGCGAAACCGGTGTTCTCCCGTAATGTGGATACAATAGTATGGGCTATAGGGGCTGGTCGGGGTCTTCTACGTTGTGTAGAAGGCAGATTCCACCTTCCGGTCTATAAAGGAGACTACAATTCCACCCAAATGACAAAATTGGAATCTAACCCTCCCAAACTCTCCTTCTCTCTTCCCTTTTCCACTGTTGCTTGCCCCTTACCTCTACCCCAAGTCCTGATCTCCTTGCGAGTTGTCCTATTTTACGAGTGATCTCATTTACCAAATCCGCGAGCTTGTTCAGCTGCGTTTCTGCCCTTCATGTCAAGTGGTAGTTATCGCCTGGAATCTTTCCGGCCGTGGAATCCTTTTCAGGACAAAACGCAACCCCACCGAGATTCTCTCGATATTCATCGCTACCCAAGTCCAGTCTCGATCACAGCCACCTCGCCTCCCTCCAACTCTAGCGACCCAGCCTCAAGGAGTCCAAAAGTTCATTCTCACAAACCCGAGCGGCACCCCCTTCCTGCCCGTCCGCCGGTGGAGGTTTGCTTGAATGATAGTCTGCCGCAGGAGACAAACACTATGCACCTGTCTTCAGCGGAGGATCAGGCTTGCATCAATTCCGGAACTGAGGTGTTTGCTTTCGAGGATATCCTGCAATTGCAAGATTTACCAAGTTCTGGAGATGGGGAATATTCGATGAGCGGTGGTGATCTAGGCCTGGAGTCTCAGTACCCACTCAGCTGCGAATCGGGCGATCGGGAGCTCGCTTTCACTTCTGGTCAGCACTCGCAAGTTGGCAATGCTGGAAGCCCTGTTCTCACTGGAGAGTGTTACGATTCAACAATTGACCCAGCAATCCTGGATGATCGCCATTTCCGAGATGTTGAGCAGACCCCGGCAACAAAAGCCAGTTATAGCGTTGTTAAGCCTTCTTGCCCCTCGGATAAAATTGCCCACACTCACGGCATGCGGCAAGACTCGCAGAGAGCGATGAAATCTGGGCGGCAGCGGTCCAAAGTCAACAAGGTTTCTGTCGTCGTGGACAATCATACAATGAATATATTATCATTGATTGATATGATTGTTGAGATATGAAGTGGTCATTTATCGCATTTAGTATGGTGTTTTGGGGTGTTCCGAACGGCTGTGGATTACGTTAGTTACGTGGTATTAGGTAAGCTCTGTGTAAAAGAAAGCCATTTTCCCCGAGCTAGCTTTTTTTACTCTCTGTTCAACATCAAACCTTTCTACCAAATCATGGACCGACTGCCATCAGAGATCAAATGTCTGATTGCGAGATATGTACGTCGACCTTTTCTCCAATGGTGTTGATATCTGACCATATCTGCAGATGGGCGATGAATGTATGAAGAGCTTGGCTGCACTCTCCCTGGTGGACCAAGAATGGAACAGAATTGCCAGGCCGCTCTTGTACGAGCATATCATTATACGTCCACTCAAAGATGATGCCTCTCATAAGTTTCACTGGCAGCCAGAAGCCAGCCGTGTTCTCGTACACATAAAGCGACTCAGTATCATCGTCCCATGGTATCCAATTAGCGGCCCACCGCGCGCACCAGTGCTTCGTGCCTACAGCGGCCTCCGGGCTTCGCTTAAGACAGAGAATTTGGGAGGTCAAAGCATTCCCAAATTTAGGGGTTGTTCAACGAACCAGAGCGCCGAGGTAATTGACCTCATTCACAAGGTCCCTCAATTGCGGGATATTGATCTTCTTATGTCCAACGGCGGCCCTGTCGAGCTTCACAAGGCCATCAGGCAGTATCATCCAGATTGTCGATCATCTGTCTACTTGAGTCCTCAAGTGGGAGACATGTATCGAAAGACAGACGATTGGGTTCTATCGCCGCAGCTGCACACCGCACATGTTACTCTTTTCGAGCATCCGGAGCGCAGGAACTTCAGGGAGCACCCAGATAGAGTTCTTGAAGATATGATTATTCGTGCACCGCATGTCAAGAGACTTGCATTACAGATTGTCGCGGGTGGTCAGGCCGGCCCGAAGGAAGACTTCAGCGAGACGGTGGTTGTTGAGGGAAGGGTTGGGGTGGAACCACTGCGTGCAAAGCTTGAACAGCTAGCGTGGCCGCTGAATACCCTAATGCCGGCTGGGCAGTTCCTCAAGTGGGATAAGCTAGTAGATTACAGCTGCTTAAAATCGTGGACCGTTGGCTGCATCGAAGAGACCCAAGTACTGCGCGCTATTGCCGGTCTCCGTCCCTTCCAGCAGCTAAATAGACTCACCCTCGCTCTCTTCCCACCGCAAGACGACGAGTTATCCTTCTACACAGCTGTAGAGGCAATGTTCGACTCCCTCCCCCCGCTCACATACCTCTGCCTCCTGGGTAGCTACAAACCAGCCCTCCTGTCTACTGCCCTTCGCAAGCACGGCCCAACGCTACTTGAACTAAAGCTCAACGTCGGCTCCCAAGACTTGAACCATCAGACACTCCGCCGACTCCGCGCAAAAGGCCAGAGTGTGACAGGCCCAATATGTTCCGTCGAGGAAATCCATCCCCTTGCAGCCCATTGCCCCTCCCTCCAGACCCTGTGCATCGCCATCCAACGCAATCGCGGCCTCGAAACACCCGCATACACCGCGCTCGCCCTGTTCCCAGCTCTAACAACTCTCGAGCTCTACCTGAACTGCCCACCGCTTGTGGACCCCAACGAAATCGAACCCCCCTCCCCAGTTCCACCGCGCGACCTAACGGAATTTGAGAAGTCTCAACCCCTGCCTTCTACCGGCCTCGAGGTGCCTATCTGGTACATCAGAGACACAATGATTAACTCCGCTATCGACAAGGATCTGGCCAAGACTATATTTACACACATCCGCTCCCACCAGGTTAGGGGTCAGTGCCTCACGAAGTTAAAGATTCATCCCTTGTATAGTGCACCTGCAGCTGCTGCAAGAAGCATATCAATAGTGTCGAATTGCAATATCTTCAAAGCGCCGGCTCCGTCTTGGACGGTTCAGACGGACCTTCTGGTCGGTGTCAAGGCCGTAAAGCATATGCAGAAGCAGAGTGCCCGTCGTTGGGTGTCTGAGGGGGCTGCGCAGTTGGAGGTCATTTTTAATTCTGTTTGGCCGCCGGCGGAAGGGGAGGAAGAGAATGGAAATGAGGGTAATTGGCTGCAGAGGTGGTGTAGTTGGCCTTTGCAGTGGGGTACATAGGGTCGTCGGTGATGGAGATTCAGAGATTCTTTCATAACATCATAAGAAACTTCGGACTAACTTATACATAGGTTCATAAAAGGGAGAATCAAGAGACAGTTCTTTGATGAGAAAGTGATACGGATTCCAAGGTTTCACCATGAAGATCGGCTCGCTGGTGCAACGAGTTTCGTAGATTGTGGGGAAGATGAGAGAAGAGAGAGGATGATCATGATGATAGCGATTATTGCCCCCTGAAGGCGCAAGCTCAGGGGCTCTTGGAAGTGTAAAGCTTGTCTTCAGACACGATAGGAATGTAAACACACTGAATTTCAATATGGCCTTCATTTCGAAACGATGAATTGTGAAGCCTGTCCTTGCCTCAAGTACACATCTCGACCATTCATAGTTCCTCTGCTCCTCTGATCAAGATGCAATTCATAATATGGCTCAACTATCCCAAGTTGCACGATGTTCCCGAATGTGAACCATAGGTACCCATGCTTGATTGGATAACTCAATCAACCGGCGAATAGCGGTCAACTGGTCGCCTACGTCGAGACGGGCCATATCGTTGCCTTGGTGAAACTTTGGGAGACAGCGTAGCAGAGGTTATAGGACAATGTGAGCGTCTTGTTGTCGAATGCTCACGCACACGCAAGGAGTCTCCTTTATTACTTCTCTTGAGACGTGTACTATACCGGACATTGAACACAATATGGTCGCGAAGTACGTTGAGCTCGCACACTTTTGCTTTCCCTTCTTTTCCATGTTGTTCTGGTAGGGTCTAGACTCCAGATTTCCCGTTTCGGGTTAGTTTCACCCGCGCAACCAAAATTGGCGCGGCAGCGCAGCATCTCCCCTCGACAACTTCTCTTGTGACTGACTTCCCCAGCATAATACAACCATGGAGGAAGCTTTTCAGTCTTTGACGGCAGGGAAAGTTCAGGAGTTGCTTGTATTCTGCGGAATCGGCGACTGCAACTATGAACCTATCAAACAACACATCCTAGGCATTTCTGACTTTGGTGAGGCCCAGAACGCTCCTTGGCAGACTATTTCCACTGACATGTATAGTCCGCGAAAAGAGGCTCTAGGTAGGCATAACAGATCTACCACCTCTTCTTACTCCCAGAGCTAGTCCGGATCTAGAAGCAAAGCGTGGCTCTTACCGGTTCCTCCCCACATCTGAAAAAAGAAGTTAAGTGGACTACTCAGGGCTAGATACGCCGTCTCATAAGAAGAAAAGAAGAAACAAAGGAAATACCACTGCTAAAGATACAGCATAAGAGGCGAATCACTCCGTAGTAAGTCGGGAAGGTGACATACCATCCGAACCTACGTTGACGACCGAGGCGAACGCAACAATGATCATACCTCAGGATGGGACGTCTTTATCCGCTATGGACATTTCTCAATACGCGAAAGTACCGCACAGGATCATTGAGAATATACTTATGAACTGTATAAAGCTTAACGATCCCCTTAGAAGATACGGACATCGGTCAAAGCAGGCAAGCCTGATAATGAAGGTTGAAGAGATTCAGAGCTTTATGAATGGTATTATTAAGTTGTAATACCCCGATGCCATCCAGCTAATCAAGCAGGAGAATGTATTCTCCGTAAGCAAAAGTATATAGTCTCGGCTTAACGAAACCATATATTAGGAGATCATTAAGAAAGGCGCCCAGCTCCTTGACCTAAAGGATTTACTAACTTCGAAAGGCCCTCTAGATGAATTCACGATGGCCGAGAAAGTCGCCACCGAGCGATTCATAAGAGAAGCGGGCTATGGACTTAGCCTCGCTAATCAAAGGCAGTACCGTCTTTTCTAGAAAAGATTATTCGATATGCGGAACGCGGGTATCGATAAGATTCTTTTATACTGTATAAAGGAATTTGACCGCTTCTGCAAAAGCTATTTATTAGAAGCTAGGGTTTCTCTAATAGAGATTATCCGACTCTGGGAAGAAAGGTATGGCTTCTATATTAAATAACTAGAAGAGCGAGTGGTCGCGGAGAGCAAAGGCGATTTGATAGGAAGACTATGGTTAAGGCAGCCGCTCTTAATGGATAGACTTAGTGTTCCTAGGATTGTATGGAACTGCGCTATTAACCCGTGGTTCTCTAGCGTGGAGGAGACTATCTTCTAATTAAGCGGATCACACGAAGCATCAGCTAAACTGCTCGGTGGGTTCTTTGACTTATAAATAAAGGTAGAAGCGATACGAAATAAGTCTATCTTCGTCACTATTCAGCCTAAGGATAAAAAATTCCTCACAGTTTGCCCTATTATATCAGTCCAGGAAGGAGATACCCTTAGGGTGTTTGCTGGAGAGATTCGGTACTCTTCAGACTATAGCGCCGTCTACGGTATCTAAAGAAAATCTTTGGCTTAATTACTCCACGGTGACCGGGGCCCTCAACTTTATGAGGGTATCAGCTCCTAGAGGTGATTCTAACGTTCGTCTCCAGTAGGAGCTTATCGATAGACGGAGTGAAGGAAAGACGCGTCTCATGTGGAGGGTCGCAGTTATTGCTCTTCGGGTAATTTAACCATTTGAAGAAATTATTCGCACTGCTCCTCAAAAAGAACAATATCTCTTACACCAATCGCCGGCTTGCGCAAAGCGAGGATATACGAAGTACCGAAGTTCCTGATTCTTGTTCTTCCAGTCTCATTTTGGTTTCCCTGCCCCACCCCGTTTTAACTTCTAGCTTCGCATTAGAAAAATAATCGCTAATGATAATGAAATTCTTTCCTACAGAGTATCTTTACTGGTATGGGTCTCACCATGAATCCCGGCCCATAGAAGTAAATTCTACTCTACTCCTGATCCGATACTATAAGTTTCTAGGAAAGTAGTAGTGGCCGACTTTCCTTTTCGGGATTAGTATATTTATAAGCAACGAAGTGAGACACGCTAACCGCTTTGAGGTCTGGTCTATGGGACATAACAGCGATCATCATCGACCTGCGAAACGTCGACAGTAGGCCTATGGGATATAATAAGGATAGAAATCGAAAGATTGAAAGCGTGCACTGAAGTAAATCCAGACTTCAGATAATTAAGGCTGCTAAGCTACCTTAGACGCTAGTTGGCCATTTCTGGCTGAGTACTTAGATCCATAGCCAGAAGGATACGGCCTAGGATCACCTACTCTATAGTAATCACCGCCGCTCCTAATAGCCTCAAGCTACACGAGTTCATAGCTGGCTTTTTGCAACGAGCAACATAACGGACGGTATTTTCAATAGAACTAGATTTTTCTAAGTAGATAACAAGTTGAAATCTTATTACATAGTTTGGACCTTTACATCCTCCCCGCCCTTCTCAAAATCACGGTCGGATGTCAAGGTTAGAGTCGGATAGTAGGAGTTCTAATCAGATTAGCTTTTTTTTCTTAACATGACGTCATAGTAAAGCTTACTAGTTATAAAGCAAGAAAAGCCCAAAAGCCCGAAGAATCTGCTGACAGAATATGTACCTGGCCCGTCTCCCGCATGCGAATCCCCATGCATACATCTGCATTGCACAACTTGCTGTAGGAGTAGGTATATTATAATGAGTGTAAAGCGTCCTTACGACTTGTGTAACTAAAAATTTACTGCCAGTTTTTCTGCCGTTTTTTTCTGCCTATATTACAAAACATTACCAATATATTTTCAATTCAAGATTTTGAAATTCAATTTAACAGCCCTAGTTTCTTCTACTCCGTACTCCGTAGTGTTTGTTTCATTGGACTACATGGTCCTCAATGGGGCTGCCTGAAATCACTTTTCACATGTCAGAGTTATGATTTCGATGAATGTGTTTGCCTGCAAACCTAAGATAAAAATGTTGCGCAATGCGAAAGAATGATATGGGTTGGAGTGGAAATTGAAAATCAGGCCTCAATGATTCTCTCAGATGGTGTGGCAGAAGCCTCACTGGCCGAATCTTCCTTTTGCCTCTTCAAAGTCTGCTCCAGATCTCGGACCCGCCTCCTCAGCTGCTCATTCTCCCGCTTCATGTATTCCACTTCCAACTTGTGATGTGCAGCCTCCTCAAACCGCGACAGCGAGCTTCCGGGTGAATGGCCTTGCTGGGTCTGTGAGACCGAGCTCCGTTGTGGGTATATGCTGCTGTTGTGGGGGAATGAGGATAGTGACCCCATGGAGGGTCGGCGAGAGGTGAGAGATGGCTCGCGACTGCGAACCGTTCGAGAATGGTCCGGGCGATATTGGATATCCCGCGAGGGAGCAATTCCAGTAACACTTGCAGATTGCTGGCCCTGGCTTGCTGAAGTATGTGAACTGAGACTCGAATTGGATCGGTTTCGTCGCGCGGAGTGAGATTGGGTTGAACTGAGGGCGGGTGATGCCCGCGCACCATCTGCCTCGTTAAATGTTGAGGTGGAGGATGCTGTCGATGCCACAGATGCTGTCTGCTGGCGAAGAATAGATAGCTCTCGAGTCAATCGATTCACCTGCGAGAGGTTTGACGCGTCAGCAGTTGAGGGGTAGATATACTTTTGGCGCTCTGGGATCCCACTTACAATCGCTTCTTGCTCTTTCTCAAGCACTAGATGGAGATCCGAAGGCGTCAGCGGCTGAGGATGACGCAATGGCCCTTGTTCTGTTAGTCGGGGAGCTCATCAAAGTGACGCCTGCCACTGGAGACTTACCCTGAGCGGTCCTTGTGATGCCATAATCCCCGGTTCCAAGCGGTGGGCTTCCTGGGGGCGGAAGCGTTACAGAAGTATGGGAACCATGTACTGGTTGTCGGGATGTTGGAGCCTGCGATGCCATAGCGGGTGCCGTCGTTGCTGTAGGAGGTTGTGCCATAGTAGGGTCGGAAGCAGCGCTCAAGTCAGGAGCCATGGCTGTCAGGTATGTTCTGATGATATGGCTTGACGTTAAGTTTGCTTTCCCGCACGCGCAGTCAGCATGTAAGTCGCAAGGACTGAACTATAAATGTTTCAGCCTTGAGACAATAATCAGGAACAGTCAGATCTTAGTCCAGAATTAAATCAAAACACCCCTTGATGCAATTCCAGGGATATTCTTGAAACATACCAGTTATGGAGGGGGTCAAAGGCCTGCTCCTTCAAGAAAGGGAATCGAGAAAGGCAAGAGAGAAATCCGAAAAGTTGGGCTTCTCTCTTGCCGTGAGATGTTTTATCCTTTGTCGCTTTGATTGGGCCGTGCCCGTAATCTGCATCTACTGGACGTATGTACGTACATGTACATGCACCTACGTTGTAGCTCTAGATAACATAGCATTCCAGACATGTTAGATGAACATTCACACTGTTTGTCTTGAGAAAAAGGCCGACACACTACAATGACTGTCTGGTAGGTGTCTCATGGCACAGTGGATGAATATATCTGTTAATCTGCTAGCAAACATCCCAATGAACGGGGATTGTACAGAACAGACATGGTGCTCAGGCCCACTTTGCGGCATATTGGATGTCTCAATTGGAGCTGTCCAGTAAATCGAGCAATAATCGACCCAATACACTGTTGATCGGCGTCTTTAAGCTCTTGCGGGTTCCTGAACGTCATACTCATCATATTATAGATGCTGGACTTGCAAAACAATAAACTCCACTGCGGCACTGGCCCGGGAGACGATCTGCATGTTACATAAGCCTGCCAACAGCCCGCCGTGAAAGAGGTAAACAACTTCGATCTCACGATATCGCTGTGGGTTGTGCATTGTGCATTGTGGCAGTGAAGTCTTCCAAGACCTGTCAGGGTCTCGGCTTCTAAGGTTGACTCTCCAGATATCTAACTAAGCTTGTCGCTTCAAACCCTCACTTAATGAAACCATGGCCCGATCCAACGCTCCTGACGCTACCCACATTCCACACATTCTGAAACCACTTGCTCCTTACGTCAGATCGCGCCAGGAAACCCTTCATATCCGCCAGGCACTGACGTCTTATCTTCGCTCATTTATCGAATTCGACGATCAGTCAAGCGGTCTTGCTCAATCCCACCTCTCCCTGTGCGCGTCGACCGATGCCGTTGCCAATGTCAAACGCATCCCTGCCGACCTTCCTGGGCTGAGAAAGGATTATCTCAAGGCATTGGCAGCCAATGTTGCCGCCCGCAAAGAGTTCGCCTTGGCGTCTGAGGATGTCGCCTCTTTAAGGCGCCAGCGGACGGCCCCGAAAGCCCCTTCTGACGATGCTGATATGCAAGAGCCCGGGACCGAACTTCGCGAATACCTTGCTCTCCTACGCGATCGACGCCGCCATACCAAGCTGCAGGTGTTTCAGAATTATCTTGAGGAGATTAGAACCCGCGATTCGGGGAGCGTGGAGGACGTTGGCAATAATAGCGAGCAAATTCTGTTGCCGGAGGCAGATGCGGAGGTCGGGCGCAATGACACTGAAACGGGCTTGGATGAACTAGTGCATAACCTCGAAAGAGCAGTTGTCCGCGCGAGGACTCAATTGGACCGCCAGAAGCAATTATTTGAGAAAGCCAAGGCACAGCATGATCCCCAAGCCGAGACTGCAGATGCCAAAGCACGGGCTTTACAAAGGACCCGGGATGAGCTAGTACAATGGGTGGAGGAACGGCTGGTTGGTCAAGGGGATCCGGATGAGAGTCTGCTCCAAGAGCTCCCTCCGGAGGACATCGAGGAGGCCCAGCGAGGGCTAGAGAATCGCAAGATACAGATTACAGAGCAATATGCCGCATATCTACAAGCCCGGCGAGAGCTTCTCGACGCTGCGTCCAGAGCTTGTCAGCCAGTCAATTTGACCCAGAAGCCTCCGTCACGAACAACCAACAAAACCGAGCTTTCCATAGCAGAAATACCACCACCCAACCCAATCGACGTTCTGTTATACACAAACGAAACCCTGGTCCCGCTGTATAAGAGTCAAAAGTCGCTGGCTCTCCAGAGATCCTATCTATCTGGGTTACTGTCGAAGGAAAAGTCCACGACCCTCCGCGCCCTCAATCGTCTGAGCGATGAATCCCACCTACTCCCCGAATACCCCATTCTCGCCCGCCAGCCGCGCTTTAAGCATACTCCTACTCTCAGCTCGCGAATCCAGACACAGACCTCCGAGCAGACCCCGGATGAGGTCGTTGGTCTTGCTGAGGCATGGGCATTCGCCTCTAATGCTGCAGCTGCCAACGGAAGGGAGTTTGTTCAACAAAAGATCGCATTAGGTAATGAGGTTGCGCAGGACGCCCGACAAACCTTGGCTGAAGTATGTAATACGCTCAATCAGGACCTCGATGAGGTCATGCTGGAGGGTCGGCAGAACCGAGATGGGCCGGATTTCTGGGCCTCCGAAACTCGCTCCCCAAAGGGGATGTCGAGGGGTGGTGGGTCTCGGATTGAGAAACAACCGAGTGGTCCTTGGTCACGTCTGAATGGGAGAGTAGGGGTTGCGGAATAATTGTACCGTGTTGTATGTAGTATAATAGCTTCTTTTAAATGTACAATATACCATATACTCTATCGGCTCGTTTCAGCGTAATCCAGCTGTGTGCATTGGTTTTTGGTGTAGCTCTCGAGGTTGTTGGGGTTTGTCCGACGGAGTAAGAGGATCATGGCATCAAACTCATACATACATACTCAATTCTATTCTAGCGCGATAGTTTACTTGGTAGTAGTTGCTATTATAGAGCTTGTTATATTCGCCTGTGGATTCGGTGGGTTGTTTTTAATATCAAAATTGGATGGCATACGAGGGAGTAAGAGCTAAATATATATAAAGTATCTCATTTGTATATTCTTGGTTTATTCCTTCTATTCCCTCAAGCAGGACATATTAATACAATATCTCTGCTAGAAATGCACATACAGCCTAGTATATCAATTGCAGCAAAGCTATCGAGTAATATCCGAGGTAAATTGGTTAAGTAGTCGCCAAGGTTGGGGGTTTACCCAGAAAGATGAGTACAACAACATCTATAGATCTCTCATAGCATTCATGTCTCTCACGTCTTTATCTATGATGCTCTGTTATTAGAGCTATCTATGTACAAAGCCTATCTTTAGCACCCAAGTATTGCCAATATATCCTCCCATTCACTAGCAACTATCGATAGGCTCGTACTTCTCGCCATGTCCACCAGTCGCAACAATGGTATGCATGGCAAATGACAGCTTCGTTTCCTCTATTTGCAATGCATTTTTAAGTGAATCTATGAAATCCACTGCTATCAACTTCGGTATGCTCATGCTCATCCCATGCAGATGCAATGGCTATAGAAGCATCTGAGTATTCGGTTTTGATGACGGCAATGTCAGAATGGACAACATTGGCACCAGCGCCATCGTGTCTCCAGTCATAGCCGATGTAAGGTTGCCTTTTTTTCAGCCAATCTACCGTCAATTAGGGTTGTGGTGGAAGATCGTAGCTCGATGTTGAGAGATAAGAGATAGGGTTGAGGTCCGGCATCGGCATTTCCAAGGTTGTCTGGAGTGATATGGTGTTCTTGGAAGCTCCAATTGCCTGCTATAGTTACACTCTACACCTTATATATACATGAAAAGTAGCTATGGCAATAGACAATTACCAAGGCTTTAATTAGTATACACCGGGGCATAGAATTTAGTATAAGAAAGATAGCCGAGAGATCGTCTCCACATCCAGGTTTGACTCATCGCCACCAACTGAAAAAAAAAAGAGATTATAATAAACCAAAAAAGGGGAAGGATGAAGGAAATATAAACCAACCTCTTCATACTAATTAATCAAGATTCATTATTAGATCCTCCCGATCTACGCAGGTATATAATCCCCAATATCCCCCGGCTTTCCCTCGTTGGTCTTCAAAAGTGGAGCCGTATACGGTGAACGGAACGAGCCAATTAGCGACTTCGAGGCGGAAAAAAAAGAATCCCAGCAAAGTGTAGACTCATCCTCAACACATCCCTCAGCAATTGAAACATTACCTTCGGTGCGCAATGGCTCTCGCTGCTCGATGTGGGCAGGCGGCCGCCCTGCTGCGCCAGCGCTGCATTGCTGAAACCCGACCAGCACTTTCTCTGCGCGCATTCTCATCTCAGTCCGTCCGTTCGACGGCCTCCACACTACGCCTGCAGAAGATCCCCACGGCTCGGTCTCAGCAACTCCGTTCTTTCTCTAGCACATTGAACCGCCTGGCTGCTGAGAGGCCCCCGGCTGCTGAGTCTTATCTCGCTAGCGGTGCGGTGTCGGCAGGTAGCAACCTCGTCGATGTCAAGAAGGTCCTCGTTATTGGCAGTGGTGGTCTGAGCATTGGACAGGCTGGAGAATTCGATTATTCTGGTAAGTTGCAATCGCTTGGAGATGAAATTTTCGATCACATCGCCCCGTCAGTCCCTCATGGGGATTGTCTATACGAGAAGCTTTTCTGTGGGGAATACAGAGAGCTTGAAAATGGCCGCTAAAAATCAATCTATATGAGAACGGTAACTAATCTCTTGACTGCGCGATCAAATAGGCTCTCAAGCACTCAAGGCTCTCAAGGAAGCCGGCGTCCACTCGATCCTGATCAACCCCAACATTGCGACCATCCAGACCGACCACAAGCTTGCGGACGAAGTCTACTACCTCCCCGTCACTCCCGAATATGTTACCCACGTCATTGAGCGCGAGCGCCCCGATGGTATTCTCCTCACCTTCGGTGGTCAGACTGCCCTGAACCTGGGTGTGCAGATGAACCGCATGGGCACCTTTGAACGCTACGGTGTCAAGGTTCTCGGCACCCCCATCAAGACCCTGGAGACTAGTGAGGACCGTGACCTCTTCGCCCAGGCCTTGAACGAGATCGATATTCCCATTGCTGAATCGACCGCTGTCGAGACTGTCGAGGACGCTCTCAAGGCTGCCGAGCAGGTTGGATACCCCATCATTGTCCGGTCTGCTTACGCCCTCGGTGGTTTGGGTTCTGGCTTCGCCAACAACCCCGATGAGCTCCGTGACTTGTCCTCGCGCTCTCTGTCTCTGTCTCCCCAGATTCTGGTCGAGAAGTCCCTTAAGGGCTGGAAGGAGGTTGAGTACGAGGTTGTCCGTGACGCTGCCAACAACTGTATTACCGTTTGCAACATGGAGAACTTCGACCCTCTCGGAATTCATACCGGTGACAGTATCGTTGTTGCCCCTAGTCAGACTCTGTCTGATGAGGAGTACCACATGCTCCGCACTGCTGCTATTAAGATTGTCCGTCACTTGGGTGTCGTTGGCGAGTGCAATGTCCAGTACGCTCTGCAGCCCGATGGACTCGACTACCGTGTCATTGAGGTTAACGCTCGTCTTTCGCGTTCCTCCGCC